CTCATCTACTTTGTACTTTGTGATCAACAAACAAACTTAGGGCTGCACGATAAATCGCATGTGATTGTCATGCGCATCTCCTCAGTAAAGCCGGTTCTGTGATTAATAGTAAATCTCCATCACATGCTTTCAGATGGATACACAGAGCCGTAGATCACTGACAAGCTATGCAATATCGCGTTCATAATCGCAGATAAGTCGCATTCGATTATGAACGTGATATTGCGTAGCTTGTCAGTGTAAGTGCTTTTATTAATGCCATTTATGTCTTTGTTAATACAGCGTATTGCACTAGTCATCTAAATGAATGTAACATGGCAAAGATGAATGCACTTTTGGAAGCTGAATGTAAGGGAAATGTCATTTTGGAATTTCTGTGGTTTAATGTGATATTATTCATGTATGTTCATGATGAAATTTTATTTTATTGTTGTAATTAATTTATAGCATTAACAAGATGACCCGTTGAATTCATTTTGGGAGCGATGACTGATTGAATTTTTAGTCCAGTGCCTGTATATAAGATTAGTACTGGCCAAGTTCAGAGGCTGTCATATGTGGATTAACCATGTTGTGTATTTTCAAGTTTCAATATGAAAAATAACTTTTATATTGATTCATTGGATTTATTGCATTTTGAAAAAAAAAATGTGTCATGGAATTATTGCTTTATGGGGAAAAAAATAAATAAAATTTTATAATAAATCTTTGAAAATCAAAATCTGGATTTGATTTTTTTATATTATTATAACCTAAAGATGCTATGTGAAAGTTTGAAACAGAAAATAGTAGTTTTCATCTTGCCACTTTCTTGGTAAAGAAAACACATTTTTACTCAAATTAATCAAAATGGATTTATAGCAAGGCGAAAACAAATTTTGAAGTCGTTTAAAAAAAAAAATAAATAAATAAAAAAATCGGGCCAATCTTTTTTCGTTTTTTTTAATAAATGAAAAAAACGACTTTTCTCGTTTCTGCTTATTTCATTTCAAATTGAAAAACAAACTATCAAAACGTACACGGGCCTGTCATTCCTCCACATCACCACCAGAGTGCTCCATCACCACTCTAATTGTTTCCAATCGGATTGCATTTCCCAGAAACCCCTGCCTAGGAACCAATTACAGACTTCTTCCATTGTCAATCAGGAGGACTATAAATGCTGCACTCTATCCTTAATTCGGGGCTGAGTATTGAATGTTTGTAGCCACTTTTCCTAGTGTTTCCTTATTTCCCATGTTTCCTAGTTTCCCTGCTTCCTTGCCTTCGTGTTTCTGATTGTTTTGCTGCCTGCCCTGACCATTGCCTGTTTTGAGGATTACTCTTTTGTCTGGCCTTTGCCATTGTTGTTTGCTGGTGTTTTGACCCTGATTGTTTCGACTACGCTCTGGAATAAAGCCTTGCATTTGGATCCTCAACTTCGTTGTCACGCTCCCCTCGTTACATATAATACTTGTTATCAATACTTGATCCTGCAAATTTTGATCTTCTTTATATTATGTGATTAATAAGCAATGGATCAATACATGACACGAAACAGCAACTGTTCACTGATGTAAGCATGTTTGCAGCTTATTTTAAAAGTACAATTTTTATAAATATTTAAAGGTTTTAATCACCTGATGGTCAATTTACAGCGTTTATCCTGTAGTAAATCATTGAGCTGCTTCACTCCTGATTGTCCAGGATCATTTCCTGTGAGATCCAGCTCTATCAGGTGTGAAGGGTTTGATCTCAGAGCTGAAGCCAGAGCTTTATAACCTTCTTCAGTGATAC